TATATATACTATATATATATATATATATATATATATATATGCATGTATAAGGTGCCAAAAAAATAAAACAGTCCTTGGCCATATTAGCTAGAAAGCGTAAAGTTCCTTATAAGGTTATAAAAAATCATTGTACATATGTACTTACACAAATATCATAATGAAAACATAAACCATTAGCACAAGTGGCTTTATACATAGTTGCATTAGAAAAACTGACAAAATGCCATCTCCAAGCATCGCCATCTAACTCCAAACTCGCCCTCTAGCCTAATTTTGACATGCTCTCATACTAACAATGATCATCAAAATTTAACACATGAAAAAATAAGGATAAACTTGTGAAAGAAAGCAACATATATAGTATGTAAAAATCAAACCACATCATCAACTATCAACTGAAATAACTTATCAACATAACAATTTTACAACTAAGCATATTAACCAACTAAACTATTGAATAATAACTTAGACAACTAATACAATTGAGCAACTTTAATCAACATAGCAGCATTAACAACTAAACTACAATAATCAACTTAGGAATTGAGCAAATGAAAAACATAAAACAATTAAACAACTAATGCATTATCATATATATCAACTTTGTAGACCTCCTACAACTTAATTGAGTAGTCTAAGTAGTTCGGTACTACCGAATATACAATGGTTGTCAAGGTGACTAGAAACAACGACTAGCATAGAGACCAAAAAATAACTTAATTGATTTCTCAAACTTCACCACTTAAACTAGGAAGGTCTAGTACACTTGCTAGAAATAGTACAGTTTTGGTATGAATCTACCATGACATTGATATGCATCAACCATACCTTATCATGAAATTAACCTGCCACCTACCCTCTCATTATCGCACCCCTTCCATCACTCAATTAGGGATTGTGGCCCTCGACAATGTGTTATACTCATTTGCCACTTACAATGAGTCATACTCATTCGCCACTTACAATGAGTATAACTCCATCTATTAACCATATTATTTTGACTTAAGAATCTAGAGGAGTTGATAACTTAAAAAAAAAACAACTTTTCACTTTGAGGGAAACTTTCACACTAAAGATTTTCAACACTGAATTCGTAGAGCACCTTAACTTATATCCACACAATGAGATATTTTAATTTAAAAAAAAAAAAAAAACAACAACAACAACAATAACAAATTTTTTCTCCTATAGTTTTTATGCAACTTACAACTTGAAACATCCACAACATGCATTCATCACAACTTAAACAACATTTCAACATATATCTTTCAACTTAAGTAACTTCCATCTCAACTCATTCATCTCATCAAGTTTCATCATTGTAGACACCAGGTTTTGTCCGGGCTTTATCTACAAAGGTTAGGAAGCTTCTAAGATGATAAAAGTAACTCCTTGAGGCTTGGGAAGATACAGAAGTGAGCCGAGATGGAACACAAGACATCCAAGAAGGCTTCTATGCATCAAAAGCGATCAAAAAGCTTCTCCTGGGTTAGGAGCGGTCGTTCCTAGAACCAGAACGGTTGTTCCCACTTTGCAAAATGTTTGCCAAAATGGCCATTCCAAATGGAAAAACCAAGTACACTCTGCACAAATGGAACAGCCATTCCAAAT